AAGCATCCCCATTTGCTTTCTGTTTTACAGAGGCACAGCAACATCTCAGTCCAGCCTACAGTGACATCAGCCAGAGCCTGCAGAAGGCAACCAGCTTACCTGAGCAGCATTTGCACCTTCGCATGGGCAGAGGTGGGGGGCTGCACCCTTAGTAGGGCAGCCCCCTCCTCTGTGTCACAGGGGTACTAGGACATACATTTCTAGAGCAGGAAGGTGTCAGATTCAGGATAAGAGAAAGCTTAGAGCCTGAGATTGCTGCCTTTTAAACTTAAGCAGGGAAAGGCTGAGGAAGTATAAGGCTTGAGTCAGGGGACTTGTGAGTGAAAATAGGAGTGGAAGAACTCAGGCTTACCCCAGACTTGCACCCAGCTGGAGAGAGTGCATTGGTGACATTTAGGAGCTCTGAATCAGCACTTTAACTGAATCAGCCTTGTTGACTTTAATATATCTTAATTAGTCCAAGTCTAATATTGAAGGTTGTAGTTATTGCAGTAATGTGAGATCCTTCTTGTGTTAAGAGCGTCCCAAGCACAGATTGCAGAGTTGTATTTCTGAAGTGAGCAGGCTCTTCAGGTTAGAGCATCAGAAGTTTTCTGTTCCCCTGAGATCAATGACACGTGCCAGGCACAACTGTGTAATCACAGCACAAACATCCTGAACCTCTCATGAGAGACATGCCATCCATTAATGAGGTAGCTTTCTCCAGCCAGCACTGCTTTTGCTGGGGTCTCAAAATTTACATATTTCCCCCTGCTTTGCACTTTTATTTCCCAAATAGCTGCATCTGTGCTTCCAGCTGGGCTCGGTAAATTTGGCTTTTTGAATCCAGAGTAGCCAAATTATCCAGCAGCAATTTCCATGCAGGTGCAACTACTTTTCTACTTATCCTCCCTTAGCTGTTGCTCTCTTTTTTGGTGCTTTGTGTTAGGAGAAAGAAGATGGTGCACAGATTGCATGACTTTGCTTTCTCCTCTACTTGTGCCCTTCACAATGAAAACCATCCCCAGAAGGGGGTAAACCCAGGCAATGGGTCACTTTGTAGCAGGGACAGCTGCCCAGTTTAATTTTCACCAGCTCTAAGAAGTGCTTTCGTAAAATCCCAAACTATTCATTGCTGTTATCTGAGGAGGTGAAGAGCAGCCTGATGGGCCCCTTTGCAGAAGTGTGTTTGCTGTTTGCTGGCTGGGATGAAGCACACCGGGCAGAGCTTGTACTGAGGAAAAGGATCTCCCACAGCACGTGAAAATGCTGGGTCTGGACTCAGCGAAGTGAACAGGTTTTACTAGAGATAGTTTTGAGAACAGATACTTCTTTAATGCTCTGATATTCTAAACTGCTTTTGAAGCCTCATTCTTATCTAATTTGCTTTGGTGTTCTAATTTTCAAGTTTTTTTTTCCTCCAGGAGAAACAGCCTATTACAAGTTTTAAGATCATACTGATAAATACCAATTTTGTTTTCCTATGACTATAATGATCTACATTCTCCAGTTGCTTTTCCTACCTGAAAAAAAAGATAAGAGAGTTTGAAGCCTTCTTATCTGAGATTGGTAGGCCCTACCTCCCTCTTGTAACCTTTACAATGTGTCAGCACAATTATTTTCATGGATCTAGAGATTTGTCTAGAATTATAGTTAATTATCTTACTAAAATACACTAATCACTCCAGTTTGCATGGTAGCAATTCAACAAAATTAATTTGAATCTTAAATTTTTCATCCTCCAGTGCTAACACATTTAAAAATATGATTGAATTTCTAATACTTTAAATAAAAATTCACAGGAGCATTAAGCCATTTTGTTAGTTCAGCTGTTTGCACTCCAGACCCCCACACTGTCCAGCAGTGGAACTGTGAGTAACAGGGGCAACTCAGCTGTATCACTGGTTCAAGAGAAGCCTGACTGTGGCAGCACAAAGAAACCATCTGTTCCTGATACTGCCACTGCTTTACACTCACTACCTGCAAAATTTGTGTCTGCTTGGTATTGGAAATTGTCTTTTAATTTAAAAGATGTAACACCAAACAAGAACGCGGTGAGTGGGTCCAAATAACCTTTCTTACCTGAGTCGGAAGCAGAGGGGAGGATGGCCCAAGCTGGTGGGCACCAAGGCTGCTTATCCCCTGGCAGCACACACAGCACTGCAGCTTCCTGATGGCACTGAAATAGTGGTTTTTGCTTTCTCAGTTGCTCTATTCCAGGCTGGCAAGTGCTGGCACCCCCTAACCTGCATGACTGAGGACCTAAAGAAGTTGATTATTTTCCAAAGGCAGGGAATGACTGAAGTGGAGGGGCCACTGCAGGAGGAGGGAAGCAGCTGCAGGAAGCTGTGAGTGAACGGGCCAGGTCACACACAGGCAGCTGCTAATTCCAGGCCAGCTCAAGAGGTCAACTGAGGCCAAAGGTGCCAAGCAAAATCTAATTTCTGGCTGAAGAGTATTAATAACCATGGATACAAGTATCCAATGTTTAGTGGGAAGAGTTCAGCTCCACCTCTTCTGGCTTTTTTTAACCTAAGAATTGCCATGAACTGAAGTCAATGCTGTCCGTGCCAAAGCCTATGGGAATTGCAGTTTCCCAGCAGCACTACCACCCCCACACGGCTGAAAAGCCTCCTCAATGAAGACCTAGTAAGGCGGTTGCTTGTTTCTACTTTTAGGCAACATTCCTGCCTTCTTTTCAAATGACAGCCCTCCTGCATGAAGAGTATTTTCTCTCTCACCAGCAGAGAGAGAACTTTCCTCATCAATGCACCTCTGTCCCGTTTCCAGCTCCAGGATCCTTATTGAGGGAAGAAGCAGATACTGGAGACTTCACACCTCTTCCTGGCCCTGCAGGGACTGCTGACAGGGAAGGTGTAACCCCGCAGCCTGCAGTGGCTGCCCCTGCAGCAGCACAGCCTGGACAGAGCAGGGCCTGCTCGCATCCACAAAGATGTGAGATGATGCTGTAACTTCAGCAGAGCATGAATTTCTGAGGGTGTTTTGTCACTCTCTCACCTTGCTTCATCTGGCTATCGCAGAGGATATTTTGGATATTTTACACACAGAGTAGCTCACCAAACTGATGGCATATAGTTATGTTCAGTCCTCTGACCTGCTGGCATAACAAAAGATTCATCTGAACCTTTTGCTCATTCACAATGGAATTAATAACAAAACCACAGAAGATGAAATTTAAGTAATAGAACTTCAAAAAATTTCTACATGGAAACAAGACGGTAAACGTTCAAAGTGTTTTTTAAGTGCTATGATTGCACAGAAATATTTGCTCCATTTAGAGTTCAAAGAACAACAAAAAGAGAACATAACATTGTTTTCTTAATAACCTAAAAATGTTCCAAATCAAGAATACGGATATTATCATCCAAAGAGATGAGCCCAATGTTTCACACCTGACTTCTACACATGAACAGAAGTCTGCCACAAGACTGGTGTGTGCACGTTAATGAAAAGTAATTTTACACAACTCTCAAACAATATTTAATTATTTTCACAACAAAATCACTTTGTAGCTCACCAGTGTTTTGTTTTTCTTTAAATATAAACCCAAACACTTTTAAAAGCAGCAGTTCATGTCCATGCATTTAATGCATATTTGACATTCTTTAAAAAGGGAAAATCCATGTGTTATGTGAAATACTTTCTATTATAGTAACGAAATCCAGGCAAGAAGAGCTTGTATTTCTGAAAACTCTCTTCTCCCAGAATAACCAACTTGCAAAACTGAGCATTTTCACAAAAACTTATTTAACTGTCTTTTACAAAGCATGACATGTTGAACTTCTAACTTGGATTTATAAAATGACAAGTTATCTCATCAGGAGGAAAAAAAAATTATAATCTGATATATGGAAACTCAGTTCCAAATTCAGACTTTCATTTGCAAAAAATTGAACATTTCTGAGATGTCTCTGATACTTCTGAGGTACAGCTCAGGAAGCAATACTTTATTTACCGCAGATTCAATAGTTTATCTCTTTCCAGGGATGCAACTGGGAATCCAGAGAGCTGTTAATTTCTGGATAAATGTTGCAAATGGATGACTACAAAACCAAACAGAATTCTTACTCCTTATCCTCTCATTTCCTCTTGTTCTCCTAACTTCACAAAAACCTTGAAAGTAACGTAGGAATCTTTATTGCTAGAAAGCTACGGTGGGACTCTCATTCTTTGTACAAAAATATTTTAATATATTTAGAAATGTTACATAAGAGCATTTCAGTGATAAAATATTTTATTAGTGCTTCTGTTTGAGTACATTGAGCAATGTATTGTGACTTTAAAAGAAGTTCCCAAGTTTCCCTATTTGATCTTTTCGTTTCAGACACCACTGTTACAACAGAAGCAGATACTCTGGAAGAGAAAATCATCCCAGCAGTGAGGTTCTGTGTTGCCAGTTGAGACCCATAAAGCAAGATTCGAGTATAGTGGAGTGTGTATTTTATATATCTATGCATATAAAAAGGATTATGGGAACTCTGCCAACCATATGTGAATGTGAACAGCCAACTGCATACCACGCCTCACCCAGCTCCTGGCAAGCAGGGAGGTTAGTGTTGATACAGGATGTGCTGCTGGAGCCAGCTCGAGCATTTGGTGAGGCGACAAATAGATCCTCTGTGTGGGGGTTTTTTTTGTCACTCTGAAAGCACCACCAACATCAATCACCCACTCACTTCATGCTATGCAAAAATATCCATTATTTAAACACTGTGTATAAACTCCAAAGAGATTGCTGACAAGGTATGAGATATTCCGTGGCTAGTTAAGTGCACGTGAAACCGCAACCAGAAAACTGGGAGACCTTATTTTGAAAGGATGAAAGTAAACAGAGAAACTGGAAGAAATGAAGTAATCATCACGTTCAACAAAATATTGAGAAGAAAGTCCTGCTGCAAAAAACAGGACTCTGAGGTGTATCATTCTATAAGTGTACAATATAATGGAGCAAACAATACCACATAAACAGCAAATGAAACAGTGCCACACGACAGAGAACCTTGTGCATGAAATAATACAAGTTTTTATTCATGTTTTATAGCTTACTTTTATTTATTTTTGCTTTAATAATGCATATTCTGTTCACTCTGTGCAAAACTGGGGACAGAGGCGGGTGTTTAAATCATCTAATGAAAATCAAGCGGAGATGAACATTCAGGCTGAGGGAGAGGCCTATCCAAACCAGGAAAGCTAAAAAGCCACAGCTGCTCAAGACAAAGCTGCTCTCAGCTGCGCCCTTTTGTCCTGCCATCTCGCACAAACCCGGCCCTACTGACCGAGCAGCTGTACACGGGGAAGTGACCTCCGCCGGACACCGGGGACAGGAGTCGTTGTGGTAGCTACATTAGGGAGACCTGGCCTCGACCGGCTCCAGTCAGTGTGTGGCAAAGAAAGGCACAAATCATTGCAAAGACCAGACTTCTGTTGGTTTGTTTCCTTCTTGTAAATACATTACTGTACACAATGCAAGTTTAAGTCGTAGGGGATTCGGGGACATAAAATTGCATATTTAACAGAACTTAAAACCGTAACAAAAAGTAGGCTGTTCTATCTCGAAGCAAAAATAAACCCTCCAGCCCCAACATTAACATTCATTCCTGGCTATATGCAGTACAAACATTTTAAAATCTGTGACAAAAGACAATTAAAAACCAAAAGTCAAAATCATAAAGCTTGTAAACAGATAATCTGAGATACACTTTATTTATGGAAAAATATCATCAAAATAGTACCACTATGGACTAAACTGCCTGAGTTTTCATTTCACCTAGGATCTTGAAGTAGAGAACCTTTAGCACAAGAAGATCAATTTCAGTCACAACTAGTGCTGCACAGCACAGCTTTGGGTGGAAATCTTGTCCTCGTTGGTATTTTTGTTGTGCTATCAAAAACTGTTGTGCTAATCCTTCAAATAAAGGGATGTTGAGGCAATTCTTAAATCATTTGGCACGAAGTTATTTTGGCTGGGGCATAAATTTGAGTCTCAGTCATGAAGAATAATGCAACATTCCACCTATCAAGTATTCATTTTGATTGAAGAGCTTTTTTTATGTCATTAACTTCCATCTGAAAGCAAACAGAAAAATAGTATTTGTGATTAAATTAGATGCTTCAGCAAACTAAGGCACAGTCGGTGCCACTTGAAAGCATATGTTCCATCATGTCCACAGATGTCAAGTATGGGTTTTATACTACTCTTATTTCCATGGATTTCATAAATTGAGGTGTCCTTCTCAGCTGCCTAAGATGACCACTCATGGCTTCCTCCCCGCAGAGCCTGACAAGTATAGTCACTGAATGTAAAGCAAGACCTTTCAATCCCTTCAAATTACAACTTTTACAAGCCACTTAAAATTACTTGCAGAATGAGCATTGTGTCTACGCTGCATTTAGAGCTGGCACAAGTAAACTGCACTGCTGGCAATGAGCACTGGTAGCTGAGGAACAAAACTGATGGTTCTTGCTGTAGGGATGGTGGTTGCCTTCTACACCCATCAAGACTGTGCCCAGGCCCCCAAAGGCTCTGATGGATGTGGTAAAAGGATGTGGCTGAAACCATCATCACCCCTAGTTGCACACTTGGCCCCTCTGACAGACACTGAAAACTCTAAGGCAGGGGTACACTAGATTTAATCAAACACATCCCCAGTGTTCAACTGCACCATCATCAAGACAGTCTTCTTTAATGCACGGACTGAGAGCTGTGCTACTTCCTGACTGCCAGAGCTCTACAACTAATGCAATTTTTGTTTATCAACTCTTATCTTTTTGTAAAGCTAATACTGCCATCTTCGCTAGCATCTCAACATTTACCAGTATGAACAACAGTTGAACTGGAGTAAAAGCATTCAGCTATAACATCATAATTTTAAACCCATCAATGCAGGTCTCTGTATAAAGATGTGAAGTTATTCTTTGAGGTAGAATCAAGTCTGCCCTGTTGGACTAAATCAATAACAGGTATTGAAAATGTTACTTGATTTTTTTATCTGAATAAATTTCAGTTTTAGCTGAACATGACTTGTGTTTTATTAGAAGACATGTTCCTATGTTGTTGGATGCATAAAGTTCTTTAGGCAACCCCAGAGCATAGACACTGATGATCCCCAGTTCTGCCACCCTTTGCCAAGTTCCCAAGCACTTCACAGAGTGGGAACAGTCCAGTGAAACTACAATTCAGTTTTCTATTCCTAGTACAAAGCACAGTTGACTTATAACATAAAAATATAAAATATAATCAATACTAACACACTTATCAAGTACATGGACTAGAATAGTATAATATAGCATAGCATAGAGTAATTTTGGTTGGAAGGGATGTACAATGATCATTTAGTCCAAGTTAAGGCATGTTGTTAATGTCATTGTCCAAACCATTCTCCAAACCCCCAAAAAGCAGTTTCAACGTCATTCCACATTGAAGCAGCACAGTTAATGATTCTAGGAAAGACCAAGCTCTATGATTCCCACAAGCAGGGCAGTGTGTACCTGGCAAATGACTAAGCCAGGATGACAACATCTAGAACTAAGTCACTGTATAAACTATGGTAGCAGTAACTGGGCTCTTTTATACTGTTGAGGACACTTTAGTAAAGACAACCTGAGTGCAGCCTTTAAAGCAGACATAAAAATCCTACTCTATGAAATAATATTCCAAGCACATCAACACTAAGACAAGCCTACTACAAAATATAAAGCTTTGGCAGGAAGTGAATAATGTAAAAAGGCATGATTTCATTTGTGACAAAATCAAACAATTAAAACCAAGACAAAAACATATAATAGTTCGAATCATGTATTGTGCTTAATTTTTTTTTAAATTTGTTTACTTGTGCTGATAAATTTTTAGATATTTATCAGGTTTTTCAGTAAAAACCCAGACTGCAATATATATGGCAATGCTATGAAGGGAACAGGTATTTCCCTTTCAGAAATGTTAGTAGTTTTTGATTCACTGGAAATCTAAGTGTCTTATAGCAGAGTTTTATCTCCCATATGTGAGGCTAAATCAAACCTGCCAATAAATCTCTAACATTACAAATAATACAAGTACCTGCAATCGTAGACGGATCTTCTTTTCTTCATCCAACTCAGACAGCAACTGTTTAATCTCTTTTCTGTTAAAAGAATGCAAAAGAAGCTTGGAATTATTATTAAACAAGTAAAATACAAAACCTCATCTCTTAGAGATATATTTTCCCCACTTTGCTATTTATTTTTTTTCCTCTGAACAACTAACTAAAGTCATCACACTCTTGTATACTGCAGGCTATACTACAGAGCCTGTCTGTAAGACAGTACCCCCCACATCCCACATGGCTAATAAATAATAAAGTTCCACCTAACAGCCCTGAATCCACAGGCTTTGCTCTGGACTAGCTGGATCAACACTGTATCAGCACCCAGTCACCTTTTTTTTACCATACAAAACGTAGATGGATTAACTGTGTGTGGGTTATAGGAACTGGTAACACAAATCCTTCCCATCCTATCACATACTTAAGCCACTTAAAAGCTGCTTATGCCAGCAATACAATGTAACCTTCAACTTCATTTGTAAGACTGAATGAGCCCAAATATGGATTTTCTGTCATTCCTCTTTGTTGGGAAGGGGAACAAAGCTATAAGGAGCAGACACGTTCTCATGTTCCCACTGAGTGATCTCACCTTACGACAGAAACCAGTAGGTGGAAGCTGCCCTTGCAAGAAGGGCCGGGGGGACCGGAGGAGCAGGGGTCAGCCTAAGAGGCGAAGCCGTGGGGCTTGCTGGCTACATCCAGCTTGAACCATGCCCTCCCGCATCTTCTCCCAAACTCTCCGCACACCTCTGATCCGCCACAGTCTCTGCACGCTGCTTCCCCTTTTCCTTTTTCCTGCCTGGGCTACACACAACTGACAATGTAAGTGAAGGTTTAGCTTCCAAAGCATTAAATATTCTCAGGAATAGCACAAGTTACATGCCAGCGCCAGTTTCTCCTAAAAAATGAGCAACCTAAAGAAAATGAAGATGCCCAAAACTAAATTAATAAGATCTGGGGCCATAACCATAAAGGTCTTCAAATGTCCTAATCACAATTCAATTAGTACTTTTGTGACATGAGCTTCCCGGGAAAATGTGCTGACACTCAAACAACAAATTGATTTATTAACTTTAGGAACTTGTAGTAATTTGTACTACAACTAGAACAAATGCACCCCTTTTATTATAATCAATGCACATGAGTTCCCAAATAGTTACTGGCAAATAAAACAATATAAGAACCTTATTCACTGTTTACAGCTTGTAACTTAACTTTTTTAACACCCCATAAACATCTGCTTATGTCATAACACAGGGGGGAAAAAAAACTCTTATGGAGTGGATAGTACCGGTCTGTTTTCCTGAGGTTCTCACCCCTGAATATGTTCTGACACACAAAAATCACTCACAAACACACAGGCAAACTGTGCAGAGTAACATACATGAAGGCAAGTCACCACTATGCACAAATGGATGCATCCCATCTACAGCCGTGATTTGCAAAACTTACTTTTGCTGGTCTTTCATGGTTTCAATGATGGTTCTTAGCTCCCTAACTTGTGTTCTCAGCTCTTCCAGGGCGGTCTGACCTTGGCTCAAGTGCTCAGTCTTTGGCTTTCCTTCAGTACCAAACAGGGATGGGGAATTTGACCTGTGGCCTGTTGTTCCCATAGCAATGGAGTGAAATCCAGGTGATGGTGAAGGGGATAGTGATGGTTGTACATTACTGCCACTAGCCAGACCTCCTGGTTTTGGAGGCAAGGAAGTTTTGTTATCAGACACCTGCAGCAAAAAAAAGTAACATTCAATCTCTGTAGAAAGGTTTATGAAAATCAAACCTCTAACCAATGCTAAGTATTTCACTGCACTTCAGTAATGCTACAAGTCCCACAGTCAAACAGTTTTGGTCAAAGCATGATAAATTTAACAGTTAGTCATTATCTTTGTACATGTACATCAGAGGGGGTTTAGTTGGGATGCAGAAATTCAGAGAGCTTCAGAGGACTTTCCATGGTTGCTACAATCAGTCAGCAACAGCATTTCCAAGATCTCAGACCTAGCCGTGAAATAAACCACGGGCAAATGCTCAGTGTTTCTCTCAGAAGTTTGAGAGAATGTATCTACATGCATGGACATCTCCTACAGAGCACAAACCTACGTGACCAAGAATCCAAGTTGTATTTTTTTGCAAACTAAATTTACGATCACCAACTAACCACTGAAGGAATCTTCAATGTTTTTTCAAAAATGTATTACATATTTTCCTTAGCACTATGAAAATAATAAAATATTCCTTTAAGTTTGCTTGTTGGTATGATATATACATAAAAACAAAGTTCCATGGCTTCAAAATGGTAATATACTAATAATAAATAAATGTAGTGTAAGTCCACTGTTAACTGAAGCTCCCATGAATCTCTGTAACTACACCAATAGCTTTTTATTTCTCCAGGAACTTAACAGAAAAACACAGCATGGCACCAGGTGGTAAGCTAGAAAGGATCCCATGATTCTTGAACTGCAATCCAGTGCTCTACAATTAGACAAGCTATAGGAAATCTGAAGTCCACCAGCCTATACACGACCAGCTGCTACTGCATTTACAGTACAGTGTACAAGTACAGTTATCACAGTGGCAAGTAAGGGGAGTCTTAATTCACACTATTATCTGGCAATGCCAGTATGTGCATTATATGACAGCTACCAGGCATATCTGAAAATCTGATTTGGACAAGAGTAAGAAAAAGCACTAGGCAACCCTCCAACTCTATTTTGGGAAAAGGGATATTGAAGTTTAATGGTAAATAGGGTAAGATATCGAGAATAAATGGTGTGGAAAACAAAGGAGACACTATGAGGACTTGGGGATGGGCAGGGTGGCATTAACTGACCAAAGTAACTTAAAGAAAAGGAAATGGTCAGATGAAAATAAGAAGAAAGTGGAACTGGGAGGGAAGAGCAGGATCCACCAAGTTCTACAAAAACCACTCTTCTCCACAATACAACCATGACTGAGCAAAGAACCTGCCCTGGGAAAGCACTGAATACAAAAGGAGTTCTGCAGAAAAAACAAGTCTGAACATAGAAATAAAAACTGTGTTATAATTATAAGAAAGCTGAATTACTCCAATGCCTTGAAAACTGACTTAATGACCTTAATAATACTTTTTAAACATTCTATAAATGAGTTTGTTCGTTTAGTTTGTTTATCTGGGTTGGAAGGAACTTTAAAGATCACCTAATTCCAATCCCCCTGCCATGGGTAGGGACACATTTCACTAGACCAGGTTGCTCAGAACTCAATCCAACCTGGTCTTAAAACACTTCCAGGAAAGGGGCACAGTTTCTCTGTTGGGGCATCTGTTCCAGTGCCTCTCATCCTCACAGTAAAGAATTTTTTACTAATATCTAATATAAACCCACTCTCTTTCAGTTTGAAACCGTTCTGACATCCTCTCCTGTCACCAGATGCCCTTGTAAATAGTCCCTCTCCATCTTTCTTGTAGGCTCCCTTTAGGTACTGGAAGGCCACAATAAGCCTTCCCTTCTCCAGGCTAAACAAACCCAATTCTCTCAGCCTTTCCTCACAGCAGAGGTGCTGTATCCCTCTAACCATCTCGGCGGCCTCCTCTGGACTCCAACAGGTCGATATCCTTCCTGTGCTGGGGACCCCAGAGCTGGGGTGGGGTGTCACCAGGGTAAAGTAGGCTGTGATTAATGTGTACCTAGAAACAGATGTCTCATGGATAATAACCCCTATATCAGTAGGTGCAAGTTTCTTTGGGCTGAAGAGAGACGTCAGGTTGAGTCCAAATATGGAGCAGGCGAGCAAGGCACAACCGCAGGCATTGATCTGAACATCTTATTCCAGAGTTTAACTAGATATCAGCATTAAATCCTCAAGCAGCTACTTTCTGAGAGCAGTCATCTCACTTTACAGGAACAACATCTACAACTTTGTTGTATAACTTACAAATGTTGGCCCAAGAGTATTCCTCAATGCAAGTGCTCCCAGAAGAGGGAGCTGCATAGCAAAACATTATCTTTATAACTTGATCACAGAACTGCATGACTTCATCTTTCATATTCTTTTGTCATGCTACTGGAATATAATATTTGTATTATTAAGGTATCCTTATGTACTAAAAAACAGGTACAACCTCTAAAGTGTGATCTACGTGCTCCTGTAATATTTGACTATGCTATAGTACTCTACCAACACAGTAAGAATGGCACAAGCCTATAAAATGAATACAATTATATCAAATAAAAAGTGATTATACTTGCAAATTTAAATTCAAATATTACTAGAGTAGGTAAGAGAGTTCTATTTTCTCTGCTTACAGACTCTTCTAATGTAAACTCATTTTACAGCTGCAAAAAGACAAGGTCTTTGTTTCTAAAAATTACGTCCCTAGCTTCTGTGATTCTGTGAAATGCATTTACACTAGAAGGATTTTTTTTTTCCACAGTATGGTTATTGGAGACATTTTAACCATGCAATTCACTTTAGACTTGCATTTCAAGCACAGAAAAATCTTTAGTTAGCTTTATAACTTTAAGCTTCTTTAAGGGGCTAGCTACCACGTCACTGCTGAATAAAACTTTAAATATTTCAGTACTGTTTTAAGAAATGAAGATGCATGTGATGAGGTTAAGCAGAGGCATTTTAATTAACTTACTTGTGATATTGTAACAGTTCTTGATTTCCTTGACACTTCAAGGGTTTTGTGAGTGATGGAAGCATGTTCCTCCTTCTCATCTTCAGGACTTGGTGAGTCAAAGAAATCGGGGCTTGAAAGGGATGACTGCACAGACAAACACACACCACGAAAGAAGAAAAAAGCACAAATATTTTCATTGTTCAAGAATTTTTTTTGCTATCGTTTTCAAAGTAACAATACTTAAAATCAGGACTCTTTGGCCCCTACTCCCCGTTTTTTCCATCTTATTTTCAAGGCTAGACTGCTTTCAAAGCACTCAAGAAATGATATGCTTAAGACTTGAATTCAACATTAATGTACATGTTTGCATTGCATTGTATCATGAAAGCACCCTCCTGTCCACGAGCAGAGCTGGGACACTGAGCACTGTGAGATGCCAGTCCTGCCCCCTGGGCAGCTCTGCCCCAGCTTTGCTCAGTGCAGGTCTCAACTCTTGAGAGGACCCACCTGTAGCCCTTGCACGCTGCTGGCACTGCAGGGCTGCCTCGTGCACGGCCTCTTGGCAAAGGTTCTTTCCACCCCTTGCTCCTTTCCCCAGAGATTTGACAGGGGACGGAAAACCTTTTTACTGGTCTTTTATGTTTCTGTATTTATGACGACAGATAATTTTGAAAGCTTTCTTTTTTTTGTGTGTGTCCTATCAGTTTCACAATAATCCTCTGCTTCCCTCCACTTTGTTTTTCTTCAGCAACACGAACCCAGGTAACCATCTCATTCTGATATTCCAGAATACAACAAGCATGAAAACAAAGAAACACCAAAGAAAAAGACATTGAAAAACTAAGAACTGATTTCCGAAGTATAGTTTATAAGACCAACTTATAAGATACATATTAGAGAGTGAAATTTAAATCACCTTTATATTTAGAATTGTGACCTTAATGGGAAGAAACACATGATAATTCAAGGAGAGCTGTTGAAGACTGAGTGGTCTGTTTGTCCTCAAAATCTGGTAAATGTCCAAGAGAACCCAAGGGAAATGCTTCTTTTGGGAAACACTTTCAAAATCCTTAATACTGAGCACAAATGAGTTGATTCCACAGATGTTTATACAGGATTTTTCTGGGCTCGGTCATGGCTGGCAAGGAATACTTGGCAGCACCCAAATAAGGGGGTATGGGTCTTAGAAGAAAGGGAATGTTTTAAACATCAGTATTCAGCCTTTTGACACTAATTTTCCTGAACTGCATCTCTCTGCCTCATTGTACGTGTGAAGGAATGGCTGTGTAAAAGTAGTAAAAACACCAGGAAACACAAAGAGGAGGAGAGGAAAAATTAGAAAAAATATTTAAAAAAATATTTTTTAGAGAAAAGGAAAATTGACTTACAGATGTGAGAGACTGGGAGGGTGGTCGCCTGCCAGTAGCTTTTGGTCTGGTTGTAGTTGGATGATTAAGCTTCTCAGCAATTGGTATTACAGAATCAAAACCTTCCAAGTCTTAAAAATAAAATAGAATTGATTTGATTTTCTGGCAATTGTCTTCAAAGGGAAAGAATCACATTTTTTTCTAATTTCAAAGAAATGAAATCCCATTTTCCCCACTGTGTCACAGTGTTCTGCACATGTTTAGCCACCACGATGGCACTAAAAAAACCTGGAAGTCAAAGGCAGCTGTAATCCAGTCACCCTTGCCAAGAACAATTACCCTTCCATCTCAAACACAATGAAGCAGAAGGGGAATGTGTAGAGGAGCCTTTGGCTTTGTTTTCAGCACAGGGAAAGCTAAATGACATCATGGGTCCTATGGCATGGAATAAACAGTTTCAAAATTTCCATCTGGCTACTGAAAGGGTTAGTAATATTTTTTCCTGAATAAATGAAGACACAAGGCAGTGCACACATTGTCTCAAGAGCTGTACTGTCAGTGCTGCATCTGCAGCAATTGCTGAGGGAAGTGAAGAATATGAATGGTTGGTTGAGCTGGAAGAGATCCGCAGGTTCCCGGACACCAGCAGCTGGAGGCACCGCAGTTTCCAGCAGCTATAGGTGAGAAGGCTATCTCCCTCCAGAGAGAGGTCATGGTAAGTAAAAGCTGCAGTAGGCTCCTGAAGCTGTACAGAGCCCAGGGAAAGCAGGTCTGCTCGAATGCTGTATCAACCATCAACCATGGTCAAAGAAATGCACTGGGGAAGTGTTTACTGAATCCAGCCACGTGGTAACATGTTTACGTGAAAGAACGATGCGAGGGCTCAAGGAATACCGCAGCTCATGATTACATGCCTGAATCAAATGGCTTAATACCATTCATCTATTTTTATGGGTTGTATCAGTTTCACTCACCTTCATTTCAAAATGCCCTACTGCGTATGTTAAGCAGGAAGGAGTCAGAAAACATACAAGAGGTACTTAAGCCAAGATAAATGAAAATGCTTCAAAATTACTTTTAGATATGAATCAAATACAGGAATGATATTCATTATTCAGAGACGATTTGTCATTGCACACATATAGGAAGAAATAGCTTTCAAATTACTAGTTCAGTATATTGGGGACTGAATTTTCAAAACTACTACAGAATAATGAATCCCTGAAGATCCAGTCTTGTTGCCATATTACAACCATTGTACAAAATTACACAATGAAGAAACAAATTAATTAATGGGCCTGTGCAACTATATGCACTGAATGACACTTAAATTGATTCCAAGTACTCATCATTTAGCAACAGCAAAGTAAAAGGTATCAGACATTTCTTATTCAGCAGTGTTCTTCCACCTCTAAGCGACAAAAAAAAAAAAAAAGAAGAAAAAAGAGAGCTCTTTCAATAGCCCTGAAATAGTCCAAGGTTATTCACCTCCAAATGCTACTCTATTTTTGGAGCGGCTCTTCCTATATATAACCAATGACCCCACTGCCCTTTACCACGTATTTTTCTCATTGCTTTTTTATTGACTGCTGCAACCTACGTGCAAAGGTAGGAGACCCAGTCTGACAGTGGGAATTTGGCAATCTGAAGCCTCAATTGTACCCAACATACCTGGTGGGGCTACAGCGCTTTGAAAGTAAAAATGAGCTAATATTAAAAGACTGCACAAAATCTATCCGGAGTCCTACAGAAAATCAGGGTTTCAGGAGAGGAGAAATGGAAGTAAAAACTTATTTTCTGGCGAAAAAACCAACCAAAACAAGTGTAAGAGCTGGTTTCCAGCAATATCCAGTTTGAAGCTGATCCATACCTAAGTGACTTAAGATCACACAGCAAATCAGTGCTGTATATTAATATATTGTCTTAATTTTCACGACTGTATTACTTTGGTAAATTGCATAGCAAAAATATATTACCATAAAAAATATACACTCATCTCTAAACATGTGATGCTCACACACATGAGCAGAAATGGAGGCTGAAGCAACCCTTGCATTTGTCCCAGCCACTCTCTCCCACCTAACTGCTTTACTGTTTCTTTCCCTGAGCTAGCTTTCAGCCAGCTTATTTTCCAACAATATGTGCCCAGTCACGCAAACACTCATGATTACATCCTGAATCAAAGGCATCAAAGCGTGAAGGAAGGCTCAGTATCAGTACCACAGGACTGATTCAAGCTGCTAAAACTGAGGGGAAGATCAGACTACTGCTCTGGGGGGCAGCAAGCTGGCTGAAGTTATCTCGCAGCCTCGAAGGCTCCAGTGAAGAACTTCCCTCTCTTAGTGTTCCCACTTCCATGGTCTCCATAGAAGGAGCATGAAAGGAGGTTGTAGCGAGGTGAGGATTGGTCTCTTATCCCAGGTAACAACTGACAGCAGAACAGGAAACAGCTTCAAGTTGTGCCAGGGAAGTTTAGGTTGGATATTAGGAGAAATTTCTTCACTGAAAGGGTGGTCAAGCACTGGAACAGTGTGTCCAGGGAAGTGGAAGAATCATCATCCCTCAAAGTGTTCAAAAAAACATGTAGATGTGGTGCTTAGAGACATGGTTTAGTGGTGGACTTGGCACTGCTGGGTTAATAGTTGGACTCAATGATCTTAGAGATCTTTTCCAACTTTAATGATACTGTTGTAAAAGTGACACTGTCTCTATCTACGCTAAGATGGAAAACAATGAAAAAATAGAGAAGGAAATTAATCAATGCGTTTCTTTGGCTTAAATAAACTAATAATTACCTAGAGTTCTATATTTGATCAAAATAATAAAGTACTCATGTTTAAATTGTAAAATGTATTGATAAACAGAGAGTGTATGAATTTGTATTGAGACCCATGAGCACTTGCAGACATCATTTGCTCCATGCATTTTATAAATGCCACAAAGGATGAATATTTATGTGCAAACCTTCTATTATCAAGAAATACTGGGAATTTTTTCCGCTTCTGAATGCATTTCTGATAGCTAGAAAAATAAACCAAAGCACCTTATACCCACACTGAATTTTAAAAAGAGAGCAGAACAGAGGCTATAAAGACTCCACAGGTAGCATCTGCTGCCAAACTAGTAAAATCACAGCCATTCAGCTGATATTGCAAATGAAACTCTATTTAAGTGTAATGGACAACACTTGGTATAACGCTAACACAGTAAATTCACTTCCAGTACTTCCATATGCCCTGTATCTCTCCATTTGTTCTCCTTATTTAGATGTGGTTCTTCCTCCCAGATCAGCTCTGCATCTAAGGTTATCACCACCTTCCATGACCATTGCCTATGGATGTATTCATACAAGAAAATTCCCACTAGTAACTGGTAACTAGTACAAGAACAGAGCCACCCATGAAACCTCTGCCTTGCTATCATGTATACTGTGGATTCAGTAATGAATTCACTCATACTGGGTATTTGATTACTTTTTGCTGATGGAAAGCAAGGTTATATGGGTCTAACTGTATTAAACTCAGGGAGGTGATTAAAGGCAGAGATCTGATTTTGGTTTGTAATTCTGCAGCTATCAGAAACTGGGAGTTTAAATTGACATACTAAGCTAAATGAGTAGCCTTCCAGAGGTGGAATGGCATTAATGCCAAATGGAATGGCATTAAAAATAAAGTCCAGTCCACTGTATTCACAGCCACATTAATTGCCATCAGCATCCAACAGACCTGAACTCTGCACTGGTCCAGATTTCTCTGTGTCTAGCAATAACAAACAGTAAGGAAGATTCTATTAAACACATAGAACAGAGAGGGCACCCATCAATTAACAGTGCCACTCCCTAATTAAAAAATAGTTGATACTTCTTCTACAAATAAACAGATGCATTCATTATTATTACTGTCTCACTGATCAAGCTGGTAATCCATGAAGTAATTAATGAGATGGGAAGAAAAGCATGAGAGTAATTCTAATATACTCTTGTAGTACACACAATCAAATGTCTGGCTTACTGAGCAAACATATTTCATGAATATGAAAAATATTAGCTGTGCAAGAATTATTCCCTGGTATCCTTCCAAGCCAGTTATGAATAGGATATTTCTCCCCATTGCTATGTTCATTTGGAAACATGGTTATTTAAAGCATGATGATTTTTTTTAAAAAATTGCCCAGATCCAGAAAAACAGTTATTTAAGGAAAAAGTTCTCAACTCATTACACTTGTACCTTTCTGGAAAATAACCTTCAATCCCTTTCCCTCAAAAATTCCCAGAAATAAGAAATTAAATGGTTATGCTTCCTTCCTTACCACTTTTACCTCCTGCATTTATATTCTGGCATAAAATGTGGCTAGGCCTTAACTTTATCTTCTATGTAGGTTTTTTAGTATTTGGGCTAAGTAATTTATACATAACAAAGATCAAAAAGTTTTTGAATTAGTAGCGAGATTTCACCTTGAGAAAACTGAAATGGAAAGTGATGGATAAGAGAATCAACATGTTCAGAATGCTAATGGTGAGGTTTCACAGAATAGAAATATAGCAGGTCTGAAAGAAATGAAGCAAAGGTGTTATTCGATTAATTTGAAGAAGATAATGTCAAAAAAGCCACAGAGGTAGATTCCATTTCATAGTCATCTGCAATACCTTTAAAAGGTTGACAATAGGCCTGTGAAATGGTATGTATACTGTCTTTAAATGCAATAATACTGAAAGGTATCAAACGAGACTGAGATTGCAGACAAAATCTTCTGCATTAGTGCTCATTCAATATATAGCATTAATTAAAAAAGAACTCAATAATCTGAATATTAGTGGGGATTTTCAGAATAGTACAATTATTTTAACTGCTTCAAGCATCCAGGTTCTGCTACTCCCTCCATATTGAACAGCATCGCCCTCTTTTTGGAATACAGCTGTGCTCCCAGCAAGGGTCTGGGCAGCAGAACCTCACCCATAATGAATTCCAGACTGTTTTTTTAAGATTTGGGCAGTGCACTTGTAGCAGGAGAGCTCTGTGTTTGCAGGGTTATTTTGTTCAGGAATGCAGCAGTGATGTGCCAGGGAGGCCTGCCTGTGCGGTTCTTTGCTTTGGAGGGGAACAGCTCAGCTCACCTGGCTTCCCAGGATACT